AGCTCCCGCTGCCGTTGACACCTAGAGCAGGAACAGGGGCTACCGCGGGCTGCGTCGGAGCCAACGTCGCTCCGAGCGAGCCGCAAGCTCGGGCTAAATCCCCTCCACGACCCGCTCCACGCTCGGCCCCGACCTCGTGCACAGAGAGCTGGAGGAAGGAGCAAAGTAGAGAAGGAAAAAAAAAAATCAAGATTATAAATCTAAAATTTTATTGAGACAAAAAACTGACAGAGCTTGGTATGAAGTTAAAATCCAAACACGTACTTTACATTTAAACATTTTCACAGAAACCTAAACACATGCTTTTAAAAAAAGGTTTGTACAATGCAAGTCTAGATACATACCACCCTACAAGGAGGCGCCAGGAGTCCGGCGGGGCTCACAACTCCGGACATTAAATAGTTCAGTATTTTTAATAAATCTGATTAAAAAACCTCAGAAGATGCAGGGTAACACATCTGGCTCCAGCGCCAAAATCTGGTCTACAAACAATCGCTTGTTATAGGAGAACATGGAATTGATTTTTCTTGTGCTGTTGTGGATTTCCTCTCCCCTGTGACACAACTGAAGGGCACCCAATGCTGGACAGTCGAATCGAGGTGAGAAAAGGAACAAGCAGGCAGAAGGCTCCCCCCTAATTTTGAGAATAGCACCGTGTAGCAAAGGGAGGGTAGAAGGGCTTTTAAGGGGCTTAAATTCGTCCCTCCCCGCGCCCCGGCCACGCGGGGTGCGTGTGGCAGGAGCCGCGGTTCCGACTCGGGACAATCCGGATCACACGTTGGCATTTCATCAGTCCCCGCTGTAAAATCTGCTCTTGGGATTCCAAGGACTCGAGCTCCAGAGCTTTGGACATTCACAGTTTCAGTCTCCTACCAGCGTCCCTGTCTCCCTAGTTGTGTCACCAATACTGGGCTGTTCTTTTGTGTTCAATGCAGTTTCTAAAAAAGATCTGGCAGTGATCTAGAACATTGTCACCAGACCTCATCTCCCTCCCTCCCTAATTAAACGAGACCCGTTTCCCCCACATCCCTCCCCCCAGCCCCCCGAACCGATACACCAGTAAATAGCAAAAGAAAAAAAAAAAAACAAACAGAA